ACAACGGTCCCTAACATGTTCATTTTTTACAGACTTTACCCTAATTTTCATTTTGTGCTAGCGAAGGTCTCTAACCTTTCATAAATATGCAATTGAGTTCCATTTGGACGGAAATCGTCTAAAGCACCGTCAGTTGATACAGGAAAATTCCTTGAACTATCTGTTGTTACGACGATTTTATTGGATGTTGATACCTTTTTGAACAGTGTTTTTGGACGATTTTATTGGATATTGATTCCTTAATTTTCTCAGTCAATTGACGGTGTTTTGAATAGTTTCCGCCTAGATGGACCCCAGATGCATATTTATGAAATGTTAGAAACTTCCGTTGGCACAAAATGAAAGTTAAGGTAGTCTGCAAAAAAAAAAAAGGTTAGGGACCGCTGTTACAATTTTCCCTAAATTAAATTTCACTAATGCTGAAAAGTTTGAGTAATTTCTATAAGATTATAAAACGTATAAATGGCGACACAAAAAATGCAATAGAATTGTGCTTTTCTTTTAAGAAAATTTTCAAGCAGTGTAAAAATAAAATCCTGTTTATCAATTATTGAATATTCGTGAATTTGTAAAAATAAAAAATAATAACAATTGAATACAAAAGTTGACTTCAAGTCAGCTGGTAAACGGCGTCGTCGTTCTTTGTACCAGAATGACGTCGTCTCCATTCGCCATGGTGCCAAACTGACCCCTGCAACCAATCACTCCAATTCTTTGACGTATATACCATTTCTTCCTGGTCACGCAAACAAAATTTCTCAGAACAATTGTTGCTAATAAATTAAGGGTATATTACCACGATGGTCCTCAACCTTTGTATCCTTGCAGTCTCATCCTCAACCTTTATTTTTAAAATAATCTCGTCATTAACCTTTAAAAAATTAGAGATAATAATCTAAGTGGACGACTATATATTAAAAATTATATTAAACTGTGGTAAAAAGCAATTATGACCTCTATGAAGGTCAAAAGTTGAATCCCAACCTTGAGAGTCCCCACCGCCCTGTCCCTAAAACTTTGTGAGGGAGGTAAATCTAGGGATGCGCCCCAACAGGCTAGGGAACAAGATCTGTCTGTACACTGCGCCTACAAAAAGTCCAATTCCATATTTCACGAATCAAACCCCCATACTGTGGCTGTCAGCAAGACGTGAGATAACCTCACTTCTATCCTTTGCACCACTAGGCTATACCCCGAGAGGCAATTTCTCATAATATCATTAATAGTTCCTGTTGTACAATCCCTTTCAGAATCTTGATTTTCGGGCTCAGAAATCAACACAATCAACCACCACTTTAACAAGCTCGACCCTCAACACTTGGTTGGCTTGTTCTTGCAGTCCAAAGGAGATGAAATGGTGGTTAGTTTGCAGCCCCTAAGGTCGAAAAGAAAAACAAGAGGAATCCACAAACAATGGTAAATCTTATCACAAATTTAGCCGCCTCTAATATGTATTTCTCAGTTCTCTTTACAAACACACAAATCCTCATTCAAACTCAAAGAAACTGCTGCCTAGGATGCCAAATATATATGGACTTTAGGTCATCACAAGATTGGGCCAAAAAACACTTCTCCAAATGGGCCAAGGCAAAAATACAAATGGTCCAACAAGCAAAGGTGACTCTAACCAATGGTCTAAAACAACTTGGGCCATTCAAAGTGTTAATTGTTTTCAAGTCGAGCCATCACTTTGGGATAGATAAAATTCTCGACATCGATTTTTCATCATCATCCGAATTTATTGGATATCAAAACCCAACAGTTCCAGATATTATGAAAAATCACCCTTAATCACTCTAATAAAAAAAGGTATTCTATAGTTGAGTTGTGGGATGAAAAGCACTTAAGAGAAGAAATAAGAATATGTTCTATCCCTCCGTTTCTGGTAATGGAATCATCATATATTGCAATATATGCTATGACCTTTAGTTGGATTGTATTTTCATGAAAATATTTAACAATGTAGAAATTCATCATATATGTCTGCTAAGATCATAAAGTGGTTTTTTATTAACGTATAATTTTTTATTGATAGATAAATAATCCCTATAATTAGTCTTGGCTAGATGTTAAATCTATCTCGTTTTCATTTGTTCGTTTGTGTATGTTGTAGTTGCGAGTAAATTTGATTATTATACTTGGTACATATCATTCAACTCAGCATACTTTTAATCTTTAAGTTTAGCATACAAGAAATTGAATTTCAATAACCTATTTTCAAGTATGGTGAAAGTTGAGTGACCTACGATATTTGATCTTGACTTTGAATGGGTTCACACGAAAAATAAAAAAAAAAAAAAAAAAAAAAAACCCCTTTCCCAACTTTGAGCATCCCGGGCACAACTTATTTTGTATCCATTTTCACATAATATCTTCAAGAGTCTCCCAAATTCCTCTCAAGTGGGTTGAAACTAAAAGAAGAAGGCACTATATGAGGATCGAGAGCCGAAATACAATTTATATCGGGGAGATTACTTGATGAAAGGAAACGAACTTGTTGTTTCGTTTCCGTATTTTGGATTGGATAATTTCTACGAATGAAATGAAGGCGGAACTCATTCCGAATCTTCTTCGATTTGTAAGTTCATGAGAAAAAATAAGATGTTGCTCCCTCTCCCTCTGTCTTTTACCGATTTGATCCTTCAAAATGAAAAGTGAATACTTTACATGTGATTCATATTTGAATACTAAATAGGGTTGGCATCTCATAATGTTCCTAGAGCTTATTGTCATATTGCCCTAAATTTTTTGGATTATGCTTTACGCATATCATAATTTACAGATTTGTTTATCAACAAATAATATGATGAGATTTGCTTGAGTCAATATCTTATCAACCAAATAAAGAAAAATCTTCAAATTCTTTTTGTCACTAACCCACGTTACATAACTACAACTGTTTAAATAGTGAAGAAATTTTAACAATTTTAATTTTATTTATCGCCACCTCATTAATCTGTAAAAGATCTATAAATAATGATATGCAAATTTTCAATTTTTTTTCCTTTCTTGCCACTCCAATCGCATGGAGTTAATTATCCCAATGATCACTGAACCTAGGTTTACGTCTTTGATTGGTCGCTGAAATTTAAAATGACGAATTTTGGTAACTGAACTTAGGTTCATGTTTTCGATTGCTTATTGAAATCTAAAATGTCTAGTTTGATCACTGAATTTTTAAAAATGTTGTACCTTATTGTAAACTCGATATTTTCTAAAGTGCAACATTTATGCTAATAAGTAATGTACAATATTTTTTAAAATTTAGTGACTAAAACTTCAATGAGTGATTGAAAACATAGACCTAATTTTTGTAATCAAAATTCGATATTATAAATTTAAATGACCAATCAAAAACATGAACATAAATTGAGTGACTATTGAAACAATCGATTCATCCACATGCACTGTATTGCAGTAAACTACGCAGAACAAGTTGCACCTAATTTTTGTCGCGATTAAGACGGTGGGTAATATCACTCTCGTAATTTCTTTCAAATCCATGCCCAAAATGCATAGAAAATTAGCTGGGTGCCCTCTTCCCCACCGCCCTCGTCATTCTTACATTTCGACGAAGTTTCCTTTTTCTCGAGCCTTTATGTACACATATTACATATAAATAAACGCGTGTGTGAGTACCTGAAGGTGTGAGATGTTGGAGAATTCGGAGTGAGAAATTGAGAGAATTTTGGGGATTAAAAGTGTGAATTTCTTGAGAAATGGATTCTGATTTGTGGGCTCGCCTTTCTAATTCTTCTTCTTACAGGCGTTATCAATCTCGATCAGGCTTGTCTAATTGCCACACTTTCCTCTCTCCTTTTTTTCCCCATTTCATCCGTGCGAAAAATGATGAGAAAGTGTGATATATTTTTTTCTTTATTTTGATTTTTATGGGAAACTAGGGGAAATTTTTAATTTTGATGTTAAAATTATGGAAGGACTAGAAAATTAACGAATAGGTGAAAGGGAAAGTGTTGATTTTTCTTAAGGTTTTCTGCTTGTGGATTTAGTGAGATGAAGAAAATTTTGGATTGTCAAGGTTTTGTCTTAAAGCTGGATTCTTCTTATGAAATTCCGAGAGTTTTCTGTTCAATGTAATGGGTATAGGTTATCATAACAGAAACTGAAACAAGAAGAAAAAGTTGGAAATCTGTACCTCTCCTCATAAAAATTGAATTGAGCGTAGTTTTATAGAAAATTAGAATTGTGAATTAGGGTTTCTTTGCTTTAGAAATCAGGCTTTGAGCGAAAGGATTAAGAGCCATTTTTCGCAAGTTTTTCTTTGTGTTCTGTTTGGTGTTGGTGTATCTAGAATGTAAACTTAGATCTTCTAGTTTTTTGAAGAATCATAAAGAATGTCTCAAATTTCAGTACTTGAAACAGAAATGGAGTGCAGTTTTCTTGATAGCGTGATGTGTAGATTAGAGCTTTTCTTGATTGTGCATTTTCATGTAATACAGACTCATATCGCGGAGAGGAGTACGAAGGGGAAGAAGAGCTGAGGCCAGAGTTTCTCTGTCCATTTTGCACTGATGAATTTGATATTGTTGGTCTCTGTTGTCATATTGATGACGAGCATGCCATCGAAGCCAAAAATGGGGTACCATTTCTCCATTTCCCTTTTATCATTCTGTTTGTGTGAGTCAGTATGAGTGATCTTATTGGTAATCATCACGAGTTAATTACCGGAGCTGATGATGTTTTTTATTCTAGTGTTTCATAAAAGATCTTAAAGTAAATGAGAGGAGCTTTGATTTATAATGATATTAAGTTGTATGTCTAGAATTCTACATTAAATTAAGTAGAATCTCTATTTAATTCTAGACATTTTGTTGTTTTGCCAATTATTTCTTCATTATAACCTTTTATGCATATTTGTAGTTGTGATTATTTTTTATCATTAAACAGTTTATGTATTGATTAACTAGGCAGAATCATGTAGAGTGCGAAACAGACACAACCATGGTACATAGGAGGACGTCACATATTCACTCCTTCACTTGCCTGGCATTATATTTGATTAGTAGATGCACTATTCTTACCAAAACTAACTAATAACAGTGTAATCATCCTGCATTTTTGTCTTTTGTTCCTTCCATTCAAAGAAGCCATTGACCATGTGAAGTCCCCCATGTTAAGTCTGCTATTACGTGTTGCTATAATTCTTTTTGGTTTTAGTTATAGACCATGTTTCTGCTTTATTATTTAGGCATCGATATACAACCTGCTCTTGGACATTTGAATGCAATTGCTAGCTGGCTGTAGTATTTTTCTGGAAAATAAGAAGAGATATTCGAAATCCATTAATAAAGTATGCAACACTTAGGTGATTTTCCTTTTCTTTACCTTCTTCCCTCCACCTTGATGCATAGGTAGATCTTTTCTCTTTCCACTCATTTTCCTCCCCACCCTTGCCCCCATTGGTTCTTCAACGCTTGATAGTACAAGGACCCTTGATTAGATAAAGCTGCCTGTCCTATGATGCACAACTCAATATGAGCCTTGTGACCAGTGTGACAGCAGATTTTAACAAAGTAATATGGCCCATAACGTGGGCTGCAGGTACGGGAAACTCAGCCAGAACGTGAGACATATGCAAGTTGTGAACATGTCTTTGGTGCTTGTAGGTGACAAAAAGTCAGTGATATGCGCTACTGTTGAATTTGTATATTCTGCTTAGCATTTCTCTGTAACTGATTGTTGCTTTGGGAGGCGGCTCCTTATGGTCAAAACATATTAAATTTACAAGCACCTGTTGCTAGTATACCTCTGAATTGTACTGATGGAACGTCTGTGTGCAGGTCTGCCCTGTTTGTGCAAAAAGGGTGGGGACAGGTTTGGTTAGCCACATAACTGGGCAGCATGGGAGTCTTTTAAAAATATCCTTTTGAAGAAACATTTTTCTATTGATTTTTTTTTTTTTTCTTCTTTTTTTTTTTTTTGGCTGAAATATATCATTTTATTACTTCAATCCTTCAGTTTTGCATTATGTTTATCTTGTTTTCGTAGATCTTTAGTTTCCCTTGACTGGAAAATACGTGCAGCGAAGGAGGAGAATTCGAAGGGGAGGATCTAATTCTGCACTTTCTATATTAAGAAAAGAGTTACGAGAAGGAAATCTGCAAACCCTCTTCAGGGGATCTTCGTATTTGTCATCAAATGCAGAACCCGATTCACTGTTATCGTCCTTCATATACAGTCCACCCGTGGTTGATGAACCTCCTGAAGTTCAACCTCTTTCTTCAACTAGGGCTTTCTCAATACCAAAATCCACTGGTGAAGATTTGGTGGAAAGGTAAGATCGCTATGATTTAAATGTGTACTTTTGTTTTATGTAATTAAGCATTGTTTTTACTATTTTTGAGCAATTGATAATCATATGAGAATCATTATGACGCAACTGGACGTGATGAAACAAGATCTGCAAAATAAGCTCGAACACTCCAACCACAACAAATAAAATTAATTAATATTCAAATAAATGAAATTGACTTGAATGCAAAGATTTGATTTGCCCGACCATGATTTTAAACCTGTTATTGCTGGACGCTGGGCAAGATCGTGTTTATCCAAAACGGAAAGCAAGATGGACAAAATGCTTGCATATTTGAGCGAACTTCTGCAATGTTTGGTTTCTCTTTTTAAATCATGCACTGTGAATGATAAGAAATCATTCCTCTAGCATGATGATTGGTTTATAAAATCGTTCGATGGTTCTATGTATGCTATTTTTTCTGATGAGGAACGTTTTTCTGAAACGAATCTTTCATGGGGAGTTCTCTTACTGCAATTATTACAATATACAGCCGCGTGTATGGAGTTTCCAACATGGTTCTGGCAATCCTTTATGTACCATTTCAAATTGTTTGGAATTCTTAATTATTCTTTGTTTATTCTTTACCGTTAGACCAGTGGGAAGATAATGTTATTATAAGCTGTTGGGAACTTGTTTTGATATTTGAAGCATTCTTGTGATGTTAACTGACATTTGTTAGTTATTTCAGTAACAGAAATGTTCAACATTTAGCACTGTCTGACAAGGACCAAGAGGAGAAGGCTCAAAAATGTGAATTTGTGCAAGGACTCCTGCTTTCTACTTTTCTTGACAACTTATAAGCTGAAAAGTGCATCCTATTAATGCTAGTTTACATTCTAGTCATGGAAGCCTACAGCGGAAGAAAGAGCAAGAGAATAAAGCTGAGCTTTTCGTGTTGTATTTCTGCCAAAAGTGACTCTTGAAGTTCCTATTGTATGTAAAACTTAATGTTCATAATGATATATTTTATAAAATGCAATCTAGTTGATGCCATTGGCTGCATATTCATTTCATGATTGATAATGCTTGTTCTTGCACACTTCCTTCCTAATTTGGCAACTTGAGTTAGCACAAATTTGGCATGCTTTTCAATGAGTTTTAGGTCATTCTATGAATTTAGTTCAGTTGTGAACTTGGGACTCTTTCGGATGGAGCTATATATGGTAACTAAACAAGCCTTTCTTTAAAGCAATTGACAAGTCTATATAAACACTGAACTTCTGAACCTCTAGATGCAAAAGTTAACATTACAGGCTGAACTTATAAATGCAAAAGGAAAAAGCTTCCTGCACAGGTCTGGGCCTGTACAGGGGCTGTCACATGGGGGTGGGACACAGCTCGATGCAAAATAGGCTGAATATCAACTACCACAGATTATTCTAGTCCCTAACCCCATCCTCAACCACAGTAGTATTAGCATAACTAAATAAATGCTAGTTACCCAGGTTCTATAATTCATTATTAACATCTCTCAATCCCATGCTTTGAGCTCGCATATTCTTCGAAGGCAAGTGGCAGCTCGGAATTCAAAAGCTTTAATATCCACCTCCAGAACGAGCTGTGCGACACGAAAAAAATGTAGTCAGGGTGATTAACTTTCAACAGCATAAGCCATTTATCAGCACCTCGCACAAGAGAGTCAAACTTCTGGCATTCATCGACTCCTCCAGCATTCCAATCATTAACTTTGAACTTACAAGAAGCGAGACCAAACGTTGGTAATGAGAGCTTCGGGGAAATGCCTGCATCCTGCAACTGTTCATCGACCGTTGAAACATGGAATTGTGGCCAATCGGTTCCTGTATCAAGCAATGGAATTGTATTATGATATGGGAAGACTATGAGATGTACAATCACCACAACGCAAGCACAAATGAGAAGCAAAAATAGGGAAGACTGTGAATTACTCCTGACAGGTGTGGCAAGGGAATGGAAAGTCAGAAACCAGGCGTCAATGTTTTCCAGAGTTGAGTCTACAGGTAGCCTATATATGGGACACCTGCGTAATAAGACGCACCATCTCACTCAATTTGCATGAGATAAGTTGACAGTTCAGTACTGCACAATTTCTGCTTTGTTTGACAATAAAAGCTTACCAAGCAATAGAAATCCAGCTTGCAAGAGTCAGATCACAGCTTCTATATGTTCTAAGTTCAGGAAAGCGAGATGCGAGGATAGAAATCTGATCAATTCAAGAAAATGCAAGGATTTTATATTGACATAACAGAAACCAAAGACAGATGTACAATGCTCTAGGAGACGAGAGGGCTTGCCTTATCAGCTAATGGTTCACGAAGAAATTGAAGATCCTGCTCCAAGTGCTTAAATATAAGACGACCAGGATGATATCCTTGGCCTGTGGTGTTCTGCCGGTTCCAAGTTCCCCTTGTATTATTAGCTCCTCTATCAGGTTCACAATGACTGCTTTCATCACTATTTGTCTCCAGGGAAGAATCGGCATCGCTTCCCTCTCCAGGTTTCCTGCCATGATGTTAAGCCCATTAAAAAAGTAAAATAATTAAAGAAGTTCATGAACAAATGCGCGATCACATATTATATTTGTCATTACGTTGATAATCATGGCATGTGTAGTCCCTCAAAGTCTCTACTATTATCATAATTTTACTCAGCAAGGTACCATTAAACATCCAACAAAGGCGCTAGAAGCTATCTATGAAGAAATACAATACATTTCAAAGCAAACAAGTACCAAGCAAAGCTAACCTTATCTCCATCAACGAGCTTGATGGATCTACATACAGTTGCATAGCAGACAGTGTGGCACATAATATTGGACAGCATAATCATTCCCGTTCAGCAACAGCGGGACTTCGGCTCCATAGACACTCCACTCCCGGAAGGAGTCCCAAAGATCACCAAGTACGAAGTATGGGTGGAACTCACTATCACGATTTCTCCATCCCCTCACACTTGTCTGCAGACCTCCAGAATGTACCGAGTTAAAACCATATAGGACAGGTATAAAATCATAGAATAAACATCTATTTACTGCTGCAATGTCTTAAATCAATAAACTACGCCAAAAGTAAATGAAATCAAATTCCAGATTAAATACACCGTATAAATGAGCTAAACAGTTCATAAAGTTTTGCTTGATCTGTTTATCTTATTTAAACACTTTCAGGTATGACTACCATCAATAGATGAACACATAGAATAATAGGGTTGCTCACCAACAAGTATTCATGATGCTGTCATACCTAAAGATGTAGTTGGTTCATTGGTTACCTTCAACAAGTTATCTATTCAATTCCACTAGGAAGTAGCCCTTCCAGTGCCAAAAAGGAATATAAGCTATAAAAACCTAAAGAAACTCTCATTTACACTCACCAATCCTCCATTCACTTAGCAATTACTAATGTTATAAAAGTTGACATAAAAGCCAAACTAACCCATAAAAAATCCACTTAACAAAATATATAAAGAGCATACTTTTTTTCTTATTAATAAGTGAAAAAAAAATTAAATTTTTGCGAGGACAAGCATGCTTATTACTCAGAAAAAAAGTAGAAAACATTGCTTGGGAGTTTTTCACCGATTTTGACCAGAGTTGGTTGGCACCGTTTATTTTTTGTTAAAAGCTTCAAAGTTGGCACCGTTTAAGAGAAGTTGAAAAAACCAATGCATGCTGATTTTTTTGAGTACCGATTTTTGGATGGTTTAAAAAAATACCCAATAGTAGTGTAGCGTAATTTTGACCGTTTCTCTCGACCCATCAAATTAATGAGTTTTGACCTTTCTCATATTCTCTTCTAAATTTACTCTTTATAAAATAATAATTTCCAACTAACATATTCTATTCAAAACTAACTTATAAATAAAAATATGTTCAGTAAAAGAATTATTTATAAGTAAAAGTATTATTTTATAATTAAAAATTTACTTATAGGTAAAAAAATTACTTATAAAATAAAATATACTTTTGTGTAAAAATTTATTTATAAAGTGAAATTTTATTAATAAAATAAAAATTAACATAAAAGTTCGCTTATGTTTAAACATTATCTAAAAGTACAATATTAACTTATAATTATAAAATTTACTTATAATCAAGATAATTGTAAGATTTACTTATAAGTAAAAATACGAATTTAAAATTTGAAGTAAATATTTAACTGTTTAAGCTAAATATTAACTTATATGTAAAAAAATTACTTATAAATTAAATATCAATTATACGTAAAACAAATTCTTACAAGAAACTATTCAATTATAAATTATAAATTTAAAATTTTATACTTTAAAAAAAATTACAGAATCCGTGCATAAAAAAACTCCGAAGCTTGAGTTGGACTGTTTTTAAAATCACCACTAAAACAATAGTTCATAAAGGCTCAGAACCGATACTTTAAAAAACACCTAGGTACCCAGAACTCCCAAGTAGCCCTAACTAGCGGTTGATAAATACCCACATTGTATATAGGGAAAGTAAGATTCATCTTTAATTTCTTTCCTCCTGATAAATCAATAACTACTAAAAAAAATACAAAATAGAAAATAATCGGAAAAATATTAAAATTCTCACTGTCCTAAAATATTTTAATTAATTAAACTTGCACATTTTACCTTAGGGTAACACTGAGCTACAACAGCAGGGGTGGTGTACTTCAAGAACCGATCCAAGTTAGTTTTTGATGGAGCAGCTCCGTCATCCAAACCTGACCCTACTCCTCTCCTTTCGGGTAATGATAAAGATTTTGACTTCGACTTCAGTTGGTGCAGCTTTTGCTGGTTGTGGTTTCTCATCGGCGCTGGACTGTAGTACAATCTTTCGTCTCCTACCCTCCTCCGTCCCGCTATTTTCTACCCAAATAGAGAACACCCAACACAGTTGTACAAAATTGGAACGTAAATATGTATCTCTGTAGAGTTCTTATCGCCTCAGTATCTGTGCGTGATAATTTTGTAATAATGGGCCATCATAACAATTGGGGTTTAAAGGGGTCATACGTGAAATTGGAGATTTTGGATTTCCTTATTTATTAGGTTTTTGAAGAGTTAGTTTTGCCGAATGTAGGAGTTTGCATGAGAGAAAAGGTAAAACTTCGGCCACACTTTTGGCTCTATTTTAATGAAAAACGAAGTTTTTGTTTTTTTTTTTCTCATTATCTAATCATCCATTCTCCAATAAAATAATATTACATATAAATTTAATTTCTTTTTAACATCACACTCTTTGAAAATCACTATTTTAAAATATATTTTTTTTTTTTTTTTTTTTTCCAAAACATATTTTAATGGAACCAAAGACCTTATTCATGTACACTGTCTTCTAGAGAATTTGAGCCCCAATAAATATGCAAATTTATCAAAAAATAAAAAAATCTAAATTTGTTGTAACTTTAGCTTTCTTCATAAAATATTATAGTTTTTTTTTTTTTTTAAATTGGATGGACTGGTCTAACTTGCAAACCCCTACATGAAACTCAACTTGGATCGGATTAGATTTCTTCATAGACAGGTTCGTAAGCGGCCTAAACATAGATCTTATAAATCTGTCAAATTTTTGATTTGGCCAAGTACCTAAGAAAGGTCATTGGCTGTCGATGGAGTAAGCACTAAGAAGCTCACCCTGAATTAGTACAATTTACTCGCTCAAACGCTTTGCTTGTTTTTTTATAATGATCTCCCCAAAGGATTGAGAAATCCTTACTTGAAGGTCACTAAATCATTACTTTGATATGTTGAAAATTTGTGGATGGAGTGACAATCAAATGCTCAGAAAGTCTTGAAATTTCAGCAGAGTTAATGGCAGGAAATGGATCAAACGCAAAGAGTATCACAATATAATGCCAAAATATTCTGCAAATTGATGTCAAATGGATGCAAAGTTTAGGCAAGTGTTGAACACTTTGTCCTTAAGTTGAATTTTCCTTGCAACGGTGCCTACGGTTTATGGCAATCAATTCCCAAGATACAATGACTTCTTCTTGTGTGAGTAGCACTTCAACACACAAGAACAACGAACCAGAAATATGGTATACATATTCCTTAATGCAAATGAAAGAAAGCAAGAATTTAATGCAAAATTTGGTTGAGGAGAGAATGTTGTGCTTATAATTGCATATCATTAATGTGTAGAAATGGACGTCCCAATGATTCTATTCAGGAGGGAAAAAGGTTGTGAGTGAATAAACGCGGCCCAAAACTCAGCAACCTTTACCAAGGTTCACAACACTTGACATCGCTAGCTTTCCGGCTAGGCTTCGCTTGAGCATCAAAAGCAGTTAGCCCATCGCTCCCTTTTCGTTGGACCGTCGCTCAAGTGACAAGCTAGTACCAGACGAGCGATGGTGTTTACTGGAATTTTCAGCCAACTACCCTCTTTCCTTCCAATTTTGGTTCGTAATTTCTCATTCATCCAAAGTTGATTTTTACCTTTCAAATAAACCACGACGATCTCTCGACGAATAGAACAAGTTCATCTATTTACATTCGTAATTTGTCCGTCGGATCAAGTCCGAATATTTGCTCAAAGTTGACACCGAGTTACTTTTTCCAAGTTATACTTAACCAAATTTTCTATATCTTTAAACCAATTCTATCAATCCCCCACATGAATGGAAATTCCTTGATATGCATAACAAAATGCAAATGAAATGCAGACTTTAACAATGGAGTACATGCAACAGGTTATAGCTTCAAGATAGGTAGCTTGTGGCTTTGAACCTACTTTAGTCGAGTACAATCGAATTTACAAGGGTAATTGGTGAATGTGATGTTTTGAGGCATTCAGAATTTTGTGTAAATCGAAACAACTTTACCAACGCCATAACTTATTTTACCACTTCAGTTCTCATGGTTGTGTCCATTTTGGTCTTGGACAACTCATGGTTTCATAAGTGCTTTAAGAGAATTAAGCCTCAAACTCTCGTAGAAGTTGCCACACTTCACATTTGCATAGGTGATCTCCTTACCTCAAGGTATACGAATCATTAAACGTTTTTCACTTATCCTTATACACATTTATTATAGCACTTCAAATTTTCGGAATGGGAATAAGTGCTTTGTTTTGAATCTTTTATGATTTAGTTGTTCCACTGGACCAAGTTCTTGGGATCTCCAATCTACAAGGTTGGATTGCCGCCATAGTAATTCTATTCGATAGGCTTTATGCCCATTCACCATGATAGATGGTATACTTGATAACTTGTTAGTCTTTTAGTCAAAGGATTAGCTAAATTCTCTTTTGACTTAACATAATGAATCGAGATTATACCATTCAATATTAAGTGTTTAATGGTATTATGTCTCCGACGTATATATTGAGATTTCCCATTATACATACTATTCTGGTCCCTTGCAATTGTCGATTGCTAATCGCCATGTAAGTTAATCGCAGGCATCAATTTTTCCCAACATGGAATTCTTCAAGGAAATTACGAAACCACTCTGCTTCTCTTCTGGCTTTATCTAAACCAATAATCTCAGACTCTATCGTGGATCGAGCTATACAAGTTTACTTAGATGATTTCTAGGACATAGCTCCGCCTCAATGATAAATACATAACCACTTGTAGACTTCGAATCATTTGTGTTAGATATCTAGTTTGCATCGATATATCCTTCTAATGCTACAGGATATCTCAAGTAGTGTAATCCATATCCAACCTGTCTTAAGTATCTAAGAACTTGGTTTTATGGCTTCTAGTGTTCAATGTTAGGATCAANCAAGTAGTGTAATCCATATCCAACCTGTCTTAAGTATCTAAGAACTTGGTTTTATGGCTTCTAGTGTTCAATGTTAGGATCAACGTTTATAAAATTGGATCGGATTGGCCGATTCAACAGATAAAATCAAGAATCGGACCAAAATTCGGTCCAATTACTAAATTAACTGGTTAGTTAATAACCGGTCAAATAACCAAAAAATTGGTTAATGAAACCAAAAATCGAGAACCGGTTATGATTTTTGGACTGGTTTCCAATTTATTTTTTAAAATTATTATATGATAAAAAGGTTACCTTAGAAATGGAAACCCATTTACTCACTTTTTTTTTTTTTAAACCTGTGGAGCTCTTTATAACCATTTTTTGAATCTCATAATTGATAAACTTCCAATGTGGGATTTACAAAATTTAAAAAAATGCACTTTCAATGTGAAATTGACAAGCTTCAATATAACACACCTTTTCAATATTAATTATGGCCACATGGTGCATGACTTCAAAATTAAATTACTCAATTTCTATAGATTGCTAAATATTTTTTTAATTTTACAAATTATTTAGTAAAACTGAAATGAGTTTTTAAGTGATCTAAAAAATAAAAACTATTAAAATTTATATTAAAAACACACATTTGACATATTTGTATTTATTTTGAATTGATGATGTAAAAATTTAATTATATATTGTTGTGAAGTTAAAATTTAAATGTTTATAAATATTTATTTATCACCTCTGGTTCGATCCCGGTTGAACCTTTTGACCCTCGACCCTTTCTCTTTAACGGGTCGATGCCCGAATCGGGTTTTAAAACATTGGTTAGGATTACTTGTAAATCTACTCAATTTGTTGACTATGTATGCTATATCCGGACGTGCGCAGTTCGTAATGTACATCAAATTGCCTATAATACATGAATACTCCAATTGAGACACGGAATCACCGGTATTTTTGGCTAAATGTACCTTTAAGTCTACTAGTGTCTTAACTGGTTTATCGTCATACGCCTTAAATTTCTTAAGTATTGTCTCAGTATAGTGTGACTGAGACAATGACAAACCATCGGGTATCTTACAAATTTTAATCCCTCATATCACGTCTATAACTCTCATATCTTTCATATCAAAATATTTTACTAACACTTTCTTAATTGAGGAAATGACGTTCAAGTTATTTTCCATAATTAGCATATCGTCAACATATAGGCATACGATTACGTCTTCATTAGGTGTTCTTTTGATATAGACATATTTGTCACATTCGTTGATTTTAAAACCATTTGACAACATAGTTTTGTCAAACTTTTCATGTCATTGCTTGATGCTTGTTTTAATCCATATAATTATTTTACAAGCTTACACACCTTCTGTTCACTTTTTGGAGCAACAAACCCTTCATGTTGTTCTATATTAGTTTTTTCCTCTAATTCACCATTTGGAAATGCAGTTTAACATCCATTTGATGCATTTCAAGATTATGCAATGTTGCGATTGTAATCAAGACACGTATAGATGTGATTCTTGTTACAGGTGAATACGTATCGAAGAAATCTAAACCTTCCTTTTGTCTATACCCTTTGACTATTAATCTAGCCTTATATTTGTCTATTGATTCGTCCAACTTCAATTTCTTGTTGAATATCCATTTGCAGCCTAAAGCTTTATTTCCTGGAGGAAGTTCAACCAATTTTCAAGTATGGTTGTGCATGATGGATTCAATCTCATTATTTACTGTTTCTTTCCAAAAAGGAGCTTCAGGAGAGGACATTGCTTCGTCAAATGTCCTTGGATCATTTTTTAGTAGATGAGTTAAGAAGTCCTATGACTTTATTGCCTCTTACTATACCTTGGCTCTTTATCTACGCCATTATTTTCATTTGCTTCATCACAAGTTCGTTTATGTGAACTTGTTTCTTTTTCCTTACAAGGATTTCTTCAAAGAAAGTTACACTCCTTGATTCAATAATTGTACCTTTATGTATATCAAGTAATTCGGATTTATGAACCAAAAATCTATCTATGCTACTACTTATTGCATATCCGATAAACACACAATCAATTGTCTTAGGTCTAATCCTAATTTGTTTATGCTTAGGTACTTGTACCTTCGCTAAATACCCCAACACTTTAAGATATTTGTAGGAATTTTCGACGTTTCCATAACTCGTAAGGTGATTCAGCCTTACTCTTGTGTGGTATTTTACAAAGGATATGATTTGCAGAAAGGATATCTTCCCCCCAACAAGTTCTGAGGTAAACTTGAACTAATCAGCATTGCATTCATCATTTTCTTAAGGGTTCAATTTTTGTGTTCAGCAACACTATTAGATTGAGGTGAATACGAAACAGTGGTTTAATGAATAAACCCAGATTCTGCACAAAACTCTTCAAATGGCGCAACATATTCTCCGCCTCTATCACTAAGAATTATTTTTATTCCTATTCCAAGTTGATTTCCAACTTCAATTTTATAGTGTTTGAACACTTCTAGAACTTTTTCTTTACTTTTCAACAAGTATACATAACAGTATCTTGTACTATCGTTTATAAACGTTATAAAATACTTTTTTACCACCTCTTGTCCACACAAACTTTAAATCACATACATCCGTGTGAATAAGTTCCAAAAGTGTTACGTTCGTTCAGTCGAATGAAATGGTGCATGACCAACTTTACCTCTACAAATATTTCACATTTTCTTTCATTAAAATGTGTACTTGGAAGTAAACCTGAATTCATTAACTTTCGTATAGTATTGAAGTTCGCATGTCCTAATCTATGATGTCATAAATAAGACAACTCAAGAATATAATCAGAAGATGATGCTTTTTTTCTTGAATTGTTCGCTACAACAGTGAGGACATTCATCTTGAATAATCCATCTTTTACATAGCCTTTACCTACATACATGTTATTCTTCGTTAGTACAAACTTATCAGATACAATAACTAGTTTGAAGCCGTTCTTACTTAATAGAGCACCTGACATTAGGTTTTTCTAAATATTCGACACATGAAGAACATTATTAAGGTAAGTTCCTTACTCGATGTCATCTTTAAAATCATCTTTCCTCATCCTTCCACTTTTGAACTTGAGAAAATTTCCATGAATAATTTCTCATCCTTGGTTGGAGCATAGAAAGAGAAAATTTCTTTGTCAGCACATATGTGACGGATAGCACCTATGTCAACCCACCTTTCCATGAGATATTTAACATTGTTGCATTCTGAAACAACAACTAAAAGATTTATATCTCATATACAATTTCGTATGGCATTAGACTTGGTGATAATAGCTTGGACTTACTTCTTTGGTTTGCGACAATCGACAGAGCGATGTCCAGCTTTTCTACAATTTTAGCAATTGCCCTTGAACTTCTTTGCATTCTTCTTCGTACATTCAAAAGAATGCCTTTTCTTCTTACCTTTGTTGTTGGATTCCACCACATTCGTTTTTGCTTGTGGAATGTGATTCCCAACACGCTTGTCCAAACTTTGGTTGTCTTCTTCAATTCTCAATCGGACCACAAGTTTTTCAATGTTCATTTCTTTACACTTTTACTTGAGATAATTCTTGAAGTCCCTCCATAGGGGTGGAAGTTTCTCGATGATTGCAGCCACTTGAAATGATTCATTTAGAGACATATTCTCTGCGTGAATGTCATTGAGGATAACCTGCAACTCTTGCACTTGAATGATGACTATCTTGGAATCTACCATTTTGTAGTTCAAGAATTTTCCCACAATGAGCTTCTTCACTAGAGTGTCTTCAATCTTGTATTTCTTTTCCAAGGAATCCCATAGTTTCTTTGTAGATTTCTTGGAACTGTATACACTATATAACATGTTGTCCGAGCCATTCAGGATGTAATTCTTGCACAAAAGATCTAAATATATCCAAGTATCCAAAGTAATAAACAATGCCCTATTGTTCTCCTCTTTTTGCACGATGGGAGCACCTTCATTTAAGAACTTCACCAAGTTGAGGGTCGTGAGATAAAACAGCATCTTCTATTGCCATCTCTTGAAATAAGCCCTAATGAACTTCTCCAGTTCTTCTCTATGTTGGAACAAAGTTTGGAGGTGCAGTCACAACTGGAGGGATCGCAGCGGTTCGAACAATTCCTTTCGAAGTTCCCATATTCGAATTGTTGTTTGATGTAGAGTCGGTATTGAAGACCGAATTCATTTCTGTTTATACAAACAGAATATCAACCAAATCAAGAGTAGAGTAGAAGAAGTTAAACCAATGGATAGTTCAACCGAAGATAAGTATCACTCCAACGAAACAAAATCCGACTTAAAATTATTAGAAATATGTGTGGACAGAGTGCTGATCAAACCCCCAAAAAGCCTCGATATTTCGACAGAGTTAATGGCAGGAAATGGATCAAATGTTCCACCAAATATAATAAAAAAGAATACCACAATATAACGCCAAAATATTCTACAAATTGACGTCAAATGAATGCAAAGTTGAAACAAGTGTTGAAAACTTTGTCCTTAAGTCAAATTTGCCCCACAACAATGACTACAGTTTATGGCAATCAACTCCCAAGATACAACCACTTTTTCTTGTGTGAGTAGCACTTCAACACATAAGAACAACGAACCAAAAATATGATATACGTACACCTTGATGCAAATGAAAGAAACCAGAATTTTATACAATGTTTATGCAAAATTTGGTTGAGACGGAAGAGAGAATGCTATGTTATGATTGCTTATCATTGGTTTGTAGAAATGCATGTCCCAAGAGTCCTATTTATAGAGGAAAAAAGGTTGTGAGTGAAGAAACGCGACCCAAAACTCAGCAACCTTTGCCAAGGGTTGCAGCACTTGACGTTGCTAGCTTTCTATCTAGGCCTAGCTTGAGAGTTAAAAGTAGTGAGCCCGTTGCTTACTTTTCGTTGTACCATCGCTTGAGTGACAGGCTAGCACTAAGTGAGTGACGATGTTTGCTGGTTTTTCCAGCCAACTACCCTCTTTCCTTCCAACTTTGGACTGTAATTTATCATTCATCCAGACTTGGTTTTTGCCTTTCAAATAAACCACGACGATCTACTTGACAAGTAGAATAAGTTAGCCTATTTATATTTGTAATTTGACTATTGGATTAAATCCGAATATTTGCTCAAAGTTGACACCGAGTTACTTTTTTCAAGTTATACTTAACCAATTTTTCTACATCTTTAAACCAATTCCCTTACGATAAGGTTTATCGATCAGCTTCAAATCTAAAAATAGTTTAAAAAAATGTTTACAATATGATAAGTAATTGGAAATTTCAAAAATCTTTATAGTATCATATTATCATCAAGAGCAAACACAATATCGATAATCTTTATCTTTACCATGTGAAAGGTCATATATCTATTTCTTGAAAGGAAAACACTTGCGTCATTCGGTATTACGGATATACACACACAATTTTTTTGTAAACTAGCTTATTTCTCGTTAATTTTCGTTCTTCCACAAAAGATATTAGAAAACAAAATTTTTGCCGAAGAGCAACAAAGATAAAACAATATAAGACGCATAAGCAATGAAATACTTTGTTTTGCATCTAATTATTACTGTCACTACTAGTTTGAGAATCTTCATCTATGCATTGGCAAATTCAAGATCGGAGGTCATCTAGGGTAGACGTTAGGCGTTGACCATTGACAATCAATGATCGTAATAGTGAGGTCTTTGTTACTATTTAATTAAATAATATTAAAAATTATATACATATGAAAATATAATCAGAAACAACTCAAAATACAAAAAATAAATAAATAAACAAATACATGATACAACCTTACTCTGTAACTATAAACTTAGATAATTGTATTCTACAGGGTCTCATATTTTGAAAACATTGCAATATTGCTTCATTCTCAATTTTTCCAAAGATCTCTTTCTCTATGTAAACCATAAATTGTCATTCAACTAATCATCTCCCATTTTGTTGCATAAGTCACTCTTGATTGGATTCATAGCAGAGAATAACATTTCAAACACTTGCAATTACCACAAATAATATCAAAACCAAGTCGATCAGCCTGTGAACCAACGGGAAATAACAAGAACTTCTTATTACAACTAACTTCTGAGTTACATGAGATACACTATTGAGAGTAAAGAAAACATCGTCCATTCTCACAAACATAAGAAACTTGTTAAGTTGAGGTCTAAGTAATAAAAGCTCTTCACTCTTGAAATCCAAATGATAGAACTGAGCAATATGTAGCAATTTAACTTTTTCAAAAGCTGCAAATGAATCTCTTGGACTTAAATACAAAATGCAAATAAGAAGCTCAGTAGTTGTCTTCAGAAAAAGATCTTTAAACTCTTGCAAGATTGAGTCTATCATGTAACAGTACAAGTCAACATAAAAGCGACGATAACAAATCAACTGCTGATCTATACGCTTAGGTCGACCTCTCAATACTACAATATCTTCCAGATTCGGCACTAAAATATATCTACCAACATAAAACTCAATCACCATACTCAACAAATTATCCCAACCATTATCTCTCATGTTCTACAATGCATACTTATACAAATTCAATAACCTCGTAGCATTCTAAATACTACTTCTTTAACTTCCTCACAACAAATTGCATTATCAGTTTAGTAGCTTAATTAGATTTTCTCTATTAAGATATTCTTTCGATTCATCATGACAACGAAATGGCAATCCTTGCATCAAGAGGAATCTAGTACAATCTAGCACCATAGAACCTTATCCCATAACGTTTTTGTTGATGACTACTTTGGCTAGAAATAACATAGGAGATACTTTGCTTTTGATTCATCAAGTTGGTAAACTTTGCAAAAACTTGATTATGAGCACTATCAAAGAGACCGATGTGATCTTTCAATATCTTTTTGTGCTTTCAATTTGTAAAGCCCATTTTAGTGAATATATGTCCACCCCTTGATCTCCCTATCAGATTTGAACAAGTAGCAATACAAATAATAGGTCGCATCATTTTCTATGTTATACTCCAACTAATGAAATTTAGAGAACCATTTTTTTTTTTTGAAAATACCTATTATCATTTCTCATCGGTCTTCTTGAAAAATCATGTCCATGTGGTTGACAAAGACCTTTCTCTCAGTATACCATCCTAACATCATCTTTGATATTACATCATATGACTTGATAGGAGGCATTTCCTGGATTAGATACAAGATCATCCACATTGAATTGAGCCCAAGACTTCTTTGTGTTATTTAACAATCCGTATGCTCGACTAGAAGCAGTGGAGAGACTAGATGCACCACTAGAGTTAGAAGAACTATGTATGAATTTTCGTTCGATGGAAAAAATCGTTCTATAATCTGCAAAATGTCCCAATTTATTTTTCAATTTAAATGGATTAAAAAAAGAGTACGCATGGTTGAATTGAACCCAAGATCTTCTCCATTAATTTTTTTCACTTATCCTAATTTTGTAAACATAAATCCCCAAATCAAAACTCATAAATGATAAATTATAACTAGCAACTCATACAATATAAATTATTTATCATAAATCACAATTATCATTTCTCTGTTAATTAACTCATAAAACATAAATCATAACTCATTGATAATAAATAAAAAAGTGAATTATGTGATAGAACACAAAAAAAAAAGAGGAAGAGAAAGGCGCTCACATGAGGTTCAATCGTCCGAGAGTCTTGTCGGTGGTGTTGTCCATCGACAGTAGCTACTTGATTACTGCTTCACTTTGCAAATTGCAAGTAGGAGATGGAGAAGAAGGGTTTGCGTAATTGAGTACTACTTCACTTCCATTTGGTGTAGTGTAACTTGTATGAATTATGATATATCCATGGATTGGGCCTAGTTTTATATAAAAAAAGGCCCATCAGGCCATCATTCATCAGCCCAAACAAAAGGGTAAAATTAAAAATCAATTGGCGTTTTCAGTCATCTTTCTCGCCTTCTTCTTCCACGCCGTTCGCCTCTACAACTACAACATAAAGCCTGCTGGCTAATGAAAATTTCTACGGAGTCCAGCACGAATGACTGCGTCCCCTAGCTAGGTGCCGGCTCTACCACTGCGTCTACTCCATAAAAACTTTATCAACTTCTTCAACTTTGCTTTCTTCAATCTGCTCATCATTTTGTACAACATGGCTTTTATAATTTGTTGCCTTGTCAATCTATTTCCAATGAAAAACTCTAAGTGTAAGATTATATATTGAAGTAGCACAAAATAATTTGCATTTCAAGTAACATTTAAAAGAATTAACCTGTGTTGATATGATTTGCAAATGACTAGACAACTGGAATAAAGAGTTTGTAGCTACGTCTTTAGATTTCGTAAGCTAAAGAAGAAACAATGTATAATGCGTGCCATGTGACTTACGAAAAGGACCAAAAACTAAAAACGGAGCGAAAAAATTATACATACAACAACCTCTCTAGCATGTACGTAAATAGAGAAATAGAAAAGTGAATTATAGAAAATATGGCAGGTTGAATTTGAACTTATGAGAGCAAAGGTAAACCAAAAGAAAGAAGAATGAACAAAGTATAAAACAACTTTCACAAGTTATACCTCATACAAAGAATCTAGAAGTTTTGGTTGTTGTAAAATATAACTTTAGAAAGAAGGGAATGGAGATGAAATAAGAAATCAAAACACGTTACACGTTATTGTTGTCCTCAGACGACATTTGCCCCATCGCAAACAGAATTTAAATGCTAGAAGAAATATGGCAAATGGTTTGTAGAATTTATCAAACCTTGACAAGGAATTAACACTCAAACACTAGTGAAATCCTTGAAAACTTGACAATGCAGAAGGAATTTTAATATGAGAATAAATTTGGAATTTTCAATACTTTGGGATGAAGGAAATAATCTCAATTGTGGCTGTATGAATTTAAGTTTTTCTCATGTAAATTTTTGATCTACAACCACACATATATAGCCATTAGACATAGCCATATGAAGTGGTGTCAAAACTAATTGAAAAGCCACCAAAATTCAAACTAAAAAGGGCCCTAATGACTATTTTGATTATGCGACCGTATAGGTTATTCAAAAGCAGAGGCTTTAGGCCCTGTATTGCACCATGCGACCGCACCCTTATAGGGTCTATGCAATCGCATAGATCACAGTTTTGACCAATTATTTTCACTTTCATTTCACACGTATTTTTATAGATTTTGAACAATCATACAACATTGGTTCCTGAGATTTAATATAATTGTCGTGATACACCAATATACAACTTATCTATGGAAAAGTGAGCTTTCCACTGCGTGATCCGGCCAATAAAAGTCTGAGCAAAAATGAACACGAAACAAGCAAAATCAGATGCGTTGGAAAAAGTAAAGATAGTGTTTTCCGGCAAAAATGAACACGAAACAAGCAAAATTAAATGCCTTGGAAAAGTAAAGATAATGTTTTCAGTTTAGAGAACATCTTTCTTTTTTTTTGCCGGCAAAGAGTTAAGGGTTCTATTAACATGTTGTATACAAATAATTTGCAGGTTAAGAATTTTTACGGCAACAGACCTAGATAGGCAGACATCCACCAAGATTTTTAGCAAGTTGGAAGCATCATTCAGTTCCATGGATAAGATTGCCACCTTTACCTAAGATAATCATATGTAGTTGATGGAAAATTTCTATTTTGCATATAGAAACATATATAATCAAATATATGAAGAGGAAAGACAAACCTTTTTAATGGCATACTAGCTTCAAGATTAACACCTTTCAACATTTGTTTAATCCAACATTAAGTTAAATGTGGGATCAATATTACCAAGTATCTCTAAAGATCTCAATTTATCCTCCATGCATAGCGTTCCAGCATCAACATCGACTTTATCGGCATCATCTGTAAAAAAAAAAATACTATATCATAAATGCAAGAAAAGATATCATAGGATTATGCATGTAACCCTCTTTTATTTAGTGTTCCATTACCAAATCTCTATCGCTAGTTTTCCATGATATAAAATTGTACAATGGCAGATATCTGGCAGTTATATTTTGAGAGAAGATTTTCGTAGTTGGAACCAAAATTAATCATGGTACTTAATATTGATGTAATCAAAAGGCATGTTTGGGAGTTCGTTTAGAATCGTTATAATTAAATTATAAGTAGATAGAAATGAGTGATGGATAAGTAGATAGTACTTGTAGATCCTATTAAATGCCAAACATATACTTATAAAGAATCTCGATTTTTTATATATGAGAAAATTAGGCATTGCCTATATAAAAATGTCATCCAACATTAAAGCGAAAAGTCAACAATTAATCATTGCCGTGCCATTAATCAAAGGAAAATCTTCCCTCTAGGAGGAAGAAAAACCTATCCACTCATAAATTATGTTTATATACGCAAGCAAACTATCAAATTATGTTGTGAAGAGTCTGGATGGAAGAGAACTTGAAGGTGCTGTAGCTAGAATTGAATCAATAATTGAAATTTACATACTATTCTGAAAAAGATTTGATGAACAATAATTCTTTTATTCAATCATATCTCATTTGATGCAATTACTGCATGCTAAATTATCACAATTTCTGTGTTCATGATGTTAATTGTGAAAATGAGGAGTCAAAAATTAAAGGCTCATTTACCCAAAATATGACAATTGGCAACTTTAGGGAAGAAGTTTAATTTTTAAGCACCTTTGTTTGCCACATAATTAGCTCCATTCTTTGCATCAATCGAATCCAAAACTTTTCTGTGGCAAAAATTACAAAATTCTAGGCATTTCAAGATCACAGTGCAAAAATCAGGTGCGAAATTTTTTTATTCACAATTCAGGTATTGATTTAACTATTAATATCAATAATATTAACATAAAATATATCAACTCTATCTCATCCCAATCAAATTACAAACCTTAAAATTCAAATTCATCTCTCTCTTCTCACTTTCTCCACTCAACCATACCTTTGACGGTGTCGCCCACTATCGAAGACCATCTTCGTAGCGCGATGATGTGTTCCATTGCGCAAAATAGATATGGTGCACACCTCTTCCTTCTCATCTCTATTCTCTCTTCCACTCCCCTCACACATGAGTCATTGTTGCTCCTCAGAAAGCACCGTTGACAAAGATTGCTTATTCGCATGTAGCTGCGCTTACAAGTGTGAAGAAGCCACACATCATCGCTGCGTATGGCTCTGCACAGATTGATGGTGGTGTCTCTACATAGATATCATCGCTGCGTGCGGCTTTGCATAGATCGGAGGTGGTGGCTCTGTATAGATTGACGATAAAGTCGCTGTACATGGCTTTTCTCTCAACGCCGTTGTGGTGCACTAACATCGGCAGCGATGGTTGGAGTGATGCTCAGTTCGACTTCTCTTGCAATGCCGATGTAGTAGCTCTATTGTGGTTGCTGGCGTTGGGGTTGATTTTGTGGTGTATTGAAAGTAAAACTAACGGTGGGGGGCTTGATGTATTTGTTGGTGCGATGGTGGCATTGGTGTGGTAATGTTGGGAGAGATGTTGTTTTTAGCAGGTGGCGATGGTGTGGTCGTTGATTGGAGGTGG